CCGACTGCAACGTTCTAACTTGTTTAACATCTTTTTTTTGGGTTTTGTATTTGTGTTTTTGTGCACGGGCAAAAGTTAGCTTTCTGCCGTTGCTGGAGTGTTCCTTGGGGAGCAATTGGGTTAATATTTGGCACATAAATTTGCAAACGAAACACTTTAATCAATGCTCAGTCGGGATGGGGTGAAGTGCACCTTTCGGCCGTGGGCATATTGATTTGACAAACAAAAAAAAAACAAACATAAAAGGCCTGAGGCATGCAGCTAGCCACGGGTTGTCCCGGCAAGGATTCGGGGAGTCATTTAAGGCACAGAAAGAGAGAGAGAAAGAGAGAGAGAGAGATAGAGATTCGCCTGTCATTTATAACATATTGCATTTCATTTTGTTGATCTTCGAGCCGCAGGCAGCTTTTGGCTTACATTTGCTTCAGGCTCGAAACGACTCGCATAATCGCTTAAATGGAATTTATAGAAATCCTTGCAGCACCTGAGTCCTAAGCGGGGCCAGCGGTGATGCAGAAACGAGTGGCATGGAGGCGGAGAGAGAGAGAGAGCGAGTGGGAGAGTGAGAGAGTAAGAGAGAGAGAGAGAGACGCAGGCCACCTCACTGACCAGCTACACTCAGAGAAATACGACATTCGAAATGCTCATTTAGCTGGGTTATAATTAATACCCTTTTGATTTTTAAATTGAGAGCCCATTTTGTTCAATATTCCTTAATTATTGATGGCTCTGTCGACCTTTCCATATTTAAAATATTTGTTGGCTGGCTCGAGGTCCGTGTTTGTAATTGTAATTCTGCTACAAGACAGACACAGAAAATTGCGCTCACTTGTACAGACACCTGTTAAACAGCCAAACAGCCTCAGTATCAATTTCCACGTCAAAAAGCGCAGACTTGTAAAATAATGTATGTAAAATGTTCGAAATAATGTTAAATTTATTGTATTCTAATTGTTAATTGTTTTTTGTATCTTGGTGTTAGTGCCCTGAAGACGGTTTGCCGATGTGCAACCGAAATATGTCGGAAACAAAGTATTAAATAAAATTGTTTTCATTGTTTTTTCTTTACAAACACGGACCTCGAGGCAGCCAACAAATATTTTATTCCTTAATTTCGTATGAATCAAGGCCGCAAACCAGTTTTGGACAAAGCTGGTTCGAATTTCAATTTTCGGCAGACTGAGCGTTAAACAAATTATTATTATTATTATTTTGGTTATAAGATGTTGGTTATTTTTTAAGATAATTTAAAAATATTTTTGAGCAATATCTTGGAAACTTGATGTAAAATTAACTAGGTTCCATAAATAATGGTATATCTATGTATAAGACTTAAACATGGAAAAAAGAAGTCAAATTAAGTTTTAAATCATGGAACCTAAATTTGAGAATCCGAACCTCTGACAAATTGTTTTAGAATATGAATATTGAAAATGTGAATAAAAAAAAAACTTGAAATAAGCTCAAGAACGTTTGAAACGATTTTGAATATTTGGAATTAGAATACAACTTTTAATTTAGGTACAAAATTGTGTCAATTGAGTACTGGAAATAATTTTTTATTAAAATAAGAACCTTGTGCTTAATAAGTTGTTAAAAAAAAAGATTTTTTTCGCTTAGTTTAAGAATTTTCGATCTTGGTTGCATTCTGACCATGGCTGCAAGCCACGAAAAAACAGGCTCGGCTCGTGGAGTAAAGTAAATTTCGGGTTCGAATCGGCTCGTTTCAAAATCGGTTCACAGTCTTGATTTGATTGCAAATTGCTGTCGGCTTTCGCTGAGTGTAGGCATTGCCAATTATTGAGCGTTTGCCAAGTATTGGGGCATACTATATAGCCCAGGACGAGCTGCTGCTGCTGCTGCTGCTGTGGGGCGGCGCACTGAAACAGGAGCAATAACTGTTTGGCAAACAGATTTATTTTGCAGCCTCTTTATTGTTGCCGCCTGCTTGCCTGCAGCTGCCTCCGTTTCCTCCTAGCGGCGGTCTTCTCCTCTATGATGCCTTAACCTAGCTGCTGCCTTCACTTACTGCCTGCTGCCTCTTCCTCCTCCTGGGTGTTGTCTCCTCCTGGCTATCTCCTCCTCTTGTCTCTTGCCTTCTTCTGGCCGCCTCCTCCTTCTCCTGGCAGCCTCATTTTTTAGCTGCTGCTTTCTCCTGGCCTGCCTCCTCCTCCTCCTATCTTCTGGCTGCCTGCCGCCGCCTCCTGACCGCTGCTAGCCAGAAGGCTAGTACAAATATTGGTTTCTAAATTTTCATTGCCACTGCGGTCTGGCAGGATGTGCGCCTGCTACGACTCTCGACTGTTGCAGCTGCATTAAATGCATGTTTCGGCCGCCGCGTTTCCATTCAGGACTCCTTTGCCTGATGTGGCCTGGCTTGGCGTCCGCACGGTGCAGTGCATCATTTTTGCATTAGAAAAGTGTTCGCTCCCAGCTAGCTGTAAATAAGCCCAACGTTACGATGCCAACTGGCTGAACCAGTCGCAGTCGTACTCTCAGTCGCAGTCTCGATCCAAGTCCCAGTCCCAGTTCCCAATGGCGTTGCCATTGGCTGTTCTAACCGCAAATTATGCTTGTCAAAAATGAATGTTACATTCGCAAATGTAAAAGGGGCAAGGAAGTGCAGGAGAAGATGCTGCTCCCCAGGACTGGGTGTGCGCCGGTGTGTGTGGGTGTGTGCGGGTGTGCATATGGGTTTTTGTGGTTGCAAACACTACGTGCTCAATGCGTCAGAATCTCTGGAGGACTCGCAGCCTGCACAAATGAAGCCAAGCCATTGATGGGGACGGCACAGCCTGTCTGTGTGTGCATGTGTGTGTGTGCGTGTGTGTGTGTGTGTGTGTGTGTGTGTGTGTGCTGCTCTGACTGACTTGGTGGTTTGACTTTGCCGCAGTCACCACAGCAGCACAAGCAGCAGCAGCTCCTACAGCGGCTCCTGCAGCGGCGGCAGCACCGGATGCTGGCGGCGTTTCGAGGCAGCTGCTCGCAACTTTGACTAAATGTGTTTTGAGTGCATTAAGATGAAAATGTTATTACGGTTTTTTTGTTCTCTCTCTCTCTCTCTTTTCTCGGTTCTCCACTCTCAGTTCGCAGAGTTCTCTGCGGCTTTTTCCCTTGCCCTGGCACTCATTATTGCCACATTTGATGTCGGCGCCACATGGAAGCGGCGGAGGTTAAGCGCGGAAATGCTGCAAAATGTGAGCGCAAGAACAAACATGGATGCTGATTGAGACTGTCGGGGGGGGGGGGGGGGGGGGGGGTTGCTCGGTAGCTAAGACTGGGTATAGGGATTGGCTGAGGGTTGTCCAAACAGAATCGAACGGAAATTTGTGCACATAGTTGCAAGTTAGATCAACAAGTGATAGAAGCCGAAAAAGGTTGCGCTTTGCTCAGCCAAATTATGCAGATTAGCCAAAGGATATGCCGGAATAGGCAAGCATATGAAGCACAGGAAGTTGCCAGTTGCAAGAGCAATTGAAAAAATAAACAGTGCGCCAGGACCTGAAATTTAAATTGGGTACATAGCAGCAGCTGCTCCTAGATTTTTCTCAGATCTAATGAAAAGCAGGTCATGCATTTATTTGGAATATTTCCGTAAGCTCTGTATAAATGCCGCCTGCTGAGTATATATCCAGGATATTATTTGGCCATATGTAGCCGTTCCTATACACTCAGAGAAAGCAGGCATTTAGTACTTAAATCAAGTACTAATGCAGACAAAACTGTTATTCGTATCCCAAAATCTTTAGGTATGAGAATTCTTGTTTTAAATGGTTTGTACCTCTTCCAAGCCCTTTTTTCATTATACTGCAACGTTAAGGATCAATTTTAACATCATGCTTAATTCGAACTTGATTTAAAATTATTCAGGAATATTCAATTTTTTTGGTGCATTATCTTAACCCACCGCTTACCAAAAACAACCTCTAAGCTCTAACACAGCCCCTTTCGAATTCCTATCTACACAGATAAGATGTAAAGCTTATAAATAAGGGCCTATGACTTCTTAGAGGCAGCAGTCACCTAAACATATTTCATAATTTAACAATAATTTTAAGTTCTTTGCAGTTTAATTTCATTCTGCTTTTGTATTCTAACGCCATAAAATATGCTTTAAATTTGAATTTAACTCGAATTTATTGCGTATACGCAATGTGCGCATTGTTAAAAGCTGTTTTGATTACGAGAAATGGGGAGAAAAAATCTAGATTCATTACCAGAACACAGAAATAATAAATAGTCACTGTATTTCATTTATACCTATTTAAATGGGTGTTTGTGATATTATCGAGTTGAAAGCGAAAAAGGTTTATCTATATATATACATATATATAGGATGTCGATGGTTAAAATGATATTGATAGAGATAAAGATATTGATGAAGATACTAAAAACTATATTGATAATGATAATGATAATGATAAAGATAATAATTATAATAATGAAGCTTATAATGACAATGGCAATGACAATGATAATGATAATGATAATGATAATGATAATGATAATGATAATGATAATGATAATGATAGTGATAATGATAATGATAATGATAATGATAATGATAATGATAATGATAATGATAATGATAATGATAATGATAATGATAATGATAATGATAATGATAATGATAATGATAATGATAATGATAATGATAATGATAATGATAATGATAATGATAATGATAATGATAATGATAATGATAATGATAATGATAATGATAATAATAATGATAATGATAATGATAATGATAATGATAATGATAATGATAATTATAGTGATAGTGGTAATGATAGCTATTTTAATAATAATAATAAGAGTAGATGTAAAAGTTGATTGACCAGCCAACTTATCATATCTGTTTGCACTTGTATATTACATAGCAGGGCATCTGCTGGTCGAGCAATTGCGATGAAACCGTCAACAATCAGCAATCAAAATTGAATGAAATCACACATGTATTTTAGTTTTTATTCAATTTATTTCATATTTCCGTTCGTGTTCATTATTTTTATATTTATTTCATCTATGTTAATATAGTGTGTAGTAAAGCTTGACAATCTATACCAAAGAATAATGCTATCTTCATGTATTTGAGTTTTACATGTACATATATATTTATATATATATTTATTATTTATTTTTGGCAATATTTTGTCATGTTTTTCTCTCTATGTGTGTGTGTGACAGGGTGAATATTCTTTTTGATTTTATTTTTTATTTTCGTTTAGGTTAATGTGAAAGAAAATACAAATATTCTGCATGTATGGATTGCCTTTTGCTTAAAATGAACAAAATACAAAAAATGTATTTATTTTTGCAATTTTTGCGCAATTGTTATTTTGTTACGTAATTTACGTACGCAGCAGGCGATCCGGAATATCGAGCGACATTTGTAAAGGTAAAAAAGTTGTACTACGGATTCTGCATTTGAATTTATTTATTTTCTGCATGCTGATGTAAGTCAAATATAGTTGAGTTCCTTTTTTTACACGCTTTGCATGTGGCATGTTAGCAGTTGCCTCTGTAATTGCATGCGTCTATTAAACGTGAGGTTCTGTGTGCACTAGAGTTGAGAGCGTGTCGTTACACTCAGAAAAATGACTAAGGATTTTGTTATCTAATCAAGTAGAAAAATTATCAATACCCTTTTATTCCTAAATACTTTAAATTTGGTAAATTTATTTTTGATTGTTTTTGAAATGAAATAAATCAAATTTAAATGAATTGTGAATTAACAAAAAATATTCAGATTAAAAGAACATTTTTTCCTGAAATAATAGTAATAAATCTAAATAATTAAGAACATTTTACGTTTATAGTTCTAAAAATTACAAATTATTATAGAACTAATTGCTTAATTTAAAATACAAAAATAAATAATAAAAGCAATTAAATGTGTGCTATACAGAGTATCGATATTTTTAACCTTTGCTTGCGCCTTTCTTTGCTATTTTTAGTGCTCGGATCGTGTACGAATCACGCGCACACCACGCGCTCATCTCTAGTGTGCAGCTCATTGGCCTTCAATGTGCTCGCACGCATTGTGCGGCGAGTTGATTCCACTTGACTAAATAAAGGGTATTCGGTATATATAGACGCATGCGGAGTGTACTAAGCAGTGTAATTAAAATTATATTTGCAACATTCCCAATGCAAATGTGTGTGTGTGCATTTAAAAGCATAGTTTGAATGTTGTCCTTCCAGAGTTTAGTTCTGTTTACATGTGCTGTTTGCATTCTGGCGGTTACCAACACTTTTTAATTAGTTAAAACGATTTCAAAAGGTAGTACCTGGCTAGTTTTTTTCTTCTTTCAGCTCGGTTATTTTTTTGTTACATTTCATGAGAGATATATATATATATATATTTTTTTATGTTTATATGTACATTGTTCTTTTTTTCTTTTTTTTTGCAGTATATAAATTGAAGAGGTAAATAAATATGAGTGTTGTAAAACAAAAGCTAATATCAGTTCCATGCCTTATAGAGCCACAACAATTTAAGCAAAAACTATATAACTGTATATATGTAGAAATGGTTAAATGCATTGAAATTAAATTTGTAACTGAATTGAAAAGAATTTTTCATCTATACACTGAGCTTATACTCTATCCGTGCAGCAGCTAGGCATTAAATATATGTATATACGCATATATAGTATGTTATAACTTTTGGAGAACTATGAGATCTGAAGGAAAAAATTTGCTATTTACTGACATTTATCTCTATTGATTTATTATTATTAATTTGTTGAATTTTTCTTTATGTTACGTGCAATTGAAATAGTTTTGTATGTTTTTTTGTTTGTTTATCAAAATACAAAAATCCCTTTGAGCGCTCGCCCACAAAATACCAAAAAGGGGGCGTGTATTGTGGAGTTGTGTAAATATTTGCTTGCATAGTATTGTGTAATCGCCGCGTACTCATATTTTTGTAAACAATTTTTACACATTTTTTGTCATTTATTTATTTATATTTAAATGTATTTCTATATTGTTAGTTATGCAAGATTTTTTGGAGTACGTAAATCCGCCTGTATACGACAATTGGCCTTGCATTATTTAAACAACAGCTGCTAATACATACATATATATAGTACTACATACATACATATATATATCGAAAAGTGGTATACTCACAGTTGCCTACAAATCGGTATAAAGACTCTGATAGACATTTTGCGAGAAGCGCCTAAAATGTTCAGCTTATTCTTGTTTTCATTCGAATCGTAATCTGAAATCCGGCTCTTCTTTCATTTGCACATTTTCCAACACTTGCTTTGAAGGTCTACCGTTAAGTAACTAGGGTCTGGCTTGCCAAGAAGCTGAGCAGAGATTGAAGACTCAAGTAAAAAACTGTCCACGTGAACTTTATACAGCTTGGCAGCCAACTGTGAGTACATCAACTATATATGTTGGATTTAGCTGTCTCTTAAAATGTATTTTATGCACTTAAATTTAGTTTAAGTTTATAATTTACATTTACATTATCAAGCTCGAGTTGTAAACATTCTACACAAAAATTATTCTGCTGCAATTGTTGGGCTACACATATACATACTCCTACTGTATGCGATTATACATGATATACATACATATATATATATATATATACTATTTATAATACGATTTACTCACACATTGTTTTTACACCCATGCATATTTCAATATAATAAGTAAAATTTTAGTTTTCAACTAGTTTGGGTTCTTTTTTTTTTACATCCATCTATATACAATGAATTTGTGTTACGAGTGCGTAAAAATCAGTAAAATAAATTCGTAATGCAAACAGTTTAAGAAAAATTTGAGCAGTTGAGGCAAAAAAACTTAACAAGATTTTCTAGATAGGTACTCAATGGTTTTGGCTGGGATATTTATGTTTGTCTTTGGAAGAACTAGAACCTAGGTGTATATATCTAAGTGTGCTGATTATGAACTGTTAAAAGCAACCCGCGGGCATAACAATTATGTTTAACATTTAAAACAGAGCTTTAAAATTATGTTTGGCATCCTTTAGCTTTTGATATTGAGCTGGGCTTTAAAAACAATGTTTTGATTTAAAAAATTCTAAAATCCATCTATTTACACAATAATTTCTATTGGAAAACTAAAAATATACCCTATGGCATGGCTAAAAGGTTTGCATATATACGTTTATTTAGAAAATAGTTACTTTTAAGTTTCAGGTATAATACTTGGGAACTCTAAGGTCTATATGCATATATCAATGTGGCTACAGTGGATTATACAATGAGCAGTAAATTTTCTAACACTAAGAAAACGAAGTTGAAAATCAAATATTCTTCAAGCCTATGCAGCTCGGTATTACGACTATGTCCATATTTTCCTTATGCATACACATATATTTACAGTTACATATATGTATATGTACTGTTACGTTTTATACACCTTATGCGAAGTATTTTTGGTCTAGAATTGTTTTTGTTTTTACGCTATGCATTTAAACATTTACCAAATTAGACAAAGTATGGAATATTAATGACACATTCCACTAGCAACATTTCAAAATGAATCAGTATCAAACATTTGCCATTCACCGGTAGCAATGGTATACCCAAATGAACTGTTATATTTTCCAGTGAATGGCAATCGGATTGGCTTTTGGAATAATTGGTATTGGGTCGAATGTCAAATTTTCATTCATCGTGTAAGCAAACATGAATGTTGACCAGTGGAATACGTTTTAAATTTAGAAATGGATTATATATATACATATATATATATATATATTTCTATGTGTTAATGCGTCTAGTTAAACTACGTGTTTTACTTACGTGTGTTAAATAAAATCATTATTATTTCTGCACGCTGTTAACATAACATTCTCATATTCTCACGGTTGTTTTTTGTGTTTGTAATTTTGATTCTACATAAATTGCTCTTGGATCGCGCATTCTTCTTCTTGTACATACAGCTACATAAAGTCTGCGACAGTCAATAGATTGGTTTTATATTTAATTAATATTTGTTATACTGAATGCTTGGTATTATAAAAATTACTTGAGAAGAATTCGCTGATATGAACAAAACGATTGCCACAGTGGATTTATTTTTGACTCTGTGAACTGATTGTTTTGGGCAGCACAATCTATTGACCGACAGATGGCGCTAGCGCGCTGGCAGCACAATCTATTGGCCGACAGGTGACGCGCTTTACACCTGCGTACCATAATACTAGAGGGAGACAAACTCGCCACCGCCAGCATTACCCTTATCCATGCCCGGCGCTGGCTCCGTCGTCTGCAGCTGATGATGATGATGATGATCCTGCCCGCCAGTGTTCTCCGCCTCCGTCATGTTCGACTCTGCCGCGGATTCGCTGAACAGAGTCTCATTCTCGTCCGGCAGCGACAGCGTCGAATTGCCCAGCCCGCCGCTGGCGGTGATGCGACGTCCCATATTATCGTATTTGGGATAGGCGGAGCTGTCACGCAACGGCGTCGCCTCCACGCCAATGGGCGGCGTGCTGCAGGCGGACGTGGGCGCATTATTGATGCAGGTGGCGCAATTGGACGCGGACATGGGCGGCGCCGCTGTCGTCGGATGATGGCACTGCACCACTGCGGTAACAGCGGGCGGCGGTGGTGGCGGCGGCAGCGGCAGCTCCATGTCACTGTTGTTGCCGCTACAATGATAGGCGCCCGTTTCCAGATTGTACGTAACAATCTCGTCATGTGGATAAAGATTCGTGGCCGCTGCCGCCGTTGACGCAGCTGCTGCTGCTGCTGCCTGCAGCGAGGGATCCTTTTTGAGTATGCCACGGCGTGTGGTGTGACGCGGCAGCGTGGCAAACTGTGACACAGCCGTTTGGCCATCGCTGGTTGTGCCCGCAGCGTTGGCATCGGCTGAGCACTGGACATCCTGCAGCCGTTTGGGTATGTTCAGCAGATCCGGATACATGTTGATGTCGGCGCCATCCAGCATATCCTGTGTAACAGAGACGCGTATGAATATGTTGCCAAAGGTGGGATTCGGCACAATGTTGGAGCAGAACTCCGGCGGTGGTGGAAAGACGCCCACATTCAGCGGAAACTCCTCCGACAGCTGGCCATGGCCATGCGAATGGGCGTGCGAGTGCGTCGAATGCTGCAGCTGATGCTGATGCTGATGCTGATAGCTGGCCATCGAGGTGGGCACACTGATCAGGCCACAGGTGGGATCCTTGACGGTCATCAGCTGCTGTCGCATATGCTGTGCAGCCTGAGCCTGGCTGGCAACGGCCGCCGCCTGCTGCTGATGCTGCTGCTGCTGCTGTTGCTGCTGCTGCTGCTGCTGGGCCAAGGACAAGCCCGTGCGATGATGGTCGACGGCATGAATCTCGATCTGATTGAAGCCGAGGGTGGAGTCGGTTTTGTTGATGGAACTGGGATTGTTGTCAATGCCATAGCTATCGCCGCGATCATTGGTTGTTGTTGTCACACTCGAATCCAACAGTTTCTTCTCCTGATCATTGAAGCTGACGCTGGTCTTGACGCCCGCCTTATTGGCGTGCCGATGCTGGCGCGTGGTCCGCTTGCACAGACACACCACAAACGAGATGGCGATGAGCAGAAAAACGGTGCCAAAGATGCCCATGATCAGGCCAAAATACCAGAATGTCTCCGGCGTCTTAACCAGCACATGCTGCACTATCTCGCTCAGATAGATGCTTATGTTTTGGGTCATGGAGCCGATCAGATTGCTGCCCGTGCAGGCATATGTGCCGGCATCCAGGCTGCTCACGTTGAACACGGTCAGATTGCTCCACAGCTTGTCGGAGGCAATGCTCTCCGTGTCGAAGAGCACATTATCATTGTCCAGAATTTTGCCATTCAGTTCCCAGCTGACCTCCGGCAGCGGATCGCCATAGACCAGGCAGCTGAAGGTCGTATTGCTGCCAATGTCAATGTTGGTGGCCTCCTCATTGTTGAAGATCTCAACGCGCGGCGGGCAGCCAAACAGCTCTTCATCCACACTATCCCAGGTGCGATCCTTTTGCGCTGGCGGTCCTTTGCACACCAGGCTCACCGAGCTGAGTCGGCTGCTCACATACCAGCTGCGAAATTTGCGCAGCTTGCAATTGCACTGCCAGGGATTCTCCTCCAGGGAGAGCGTCTTCAGATTGCCCATGTGCTGGAACACATACTCACTGAGGCTCTCCAGCAGATTGTTCTTGAGATTTAGAAATTCCAGCAAATTCAAGTTGGCCAACGACATGGGATCTATATAGGATATCAGGCAGTCATGCATGTCCAGTGTGCGCAAATGCGGCAATATGGGAAATTGATAGGCGGACAAACGCTTCAGAGGATTACCATTCAGATACAAGATGCGCAGCCGATCATTGCCCATAAACGTGTCCTTGTCCAGCATCTCCAGCTTGTTGTCGGACAGATCTATTTCCACGAGTATTTTCAGATTGCGAAAACTTTCCTTGTGTACATATTGGACCTCGGATTTCTTTAGATATATGCGCTGCAAATTGAGCAGGCCCAATGCGGAGAACTCCTCCCGATTCAGATATGGTATATGATTATCATTGAGCACCAGCACCTGCAGTTCGGTGCTCAGCGTGGTCGGTATGCTCGTCAGCTGTAATGAGCTGCATATGGCCGACTTTTTGCCATTGGTCCACTTGCAGGTACAGTTGGAGGCGCAGCTCTGCGACCAATCGTCCGCCCACACCCACCCGACGAGGCAGGTGAGGCACAAGGCCCAAAGCAGCTGCTGCCAGGCTGCAAAAAAAAGCGAAAGAGAACATTTTAAGAGACATAGATAAAAAAGGCAACGCCAAATAAATACGCAAAAAGAAAGAGTAGCTAGCTTTGGCATGCCGATGATTAAATACCCTTGCTTAGAAGGGATTTACAAGAAAAAAAAACCCTATTTTAATGGAGGTTTCATTCGGTTCTATGAGGTTTTTTAGGAGCTCCTAAATATCAAGTTTAGGCAAGATTTTTTGAAAAAATAAACTTCTCAAGCAATAAGAATTGACTTATGTGTTAGGAGCATGGTGAAGATAAAAGTTAATCATAGATTTTCTAGTACCTAGTCCTCCGTATTGAAAAAAATACGGACCTTTGAAAAGTTTTATTCAGATCAGATCAGACCAAAAAATTAGATGGTGCCATACAATTTTTACACCATTTTCGGGATATTTTATATCAGGAAACTCACTCGAAGAACCTTCGCAGGTTTGAACTGTTATTTGACAGGGGCACACTTAAGATTGTGGTCTTCTTTTCGATTTTCCACTCTATTGTCTCGGACACAATACATTTTATAAGAAAATTTCGACGGAAGACTTTTTGAACCGGCTTCGTCACTTATTTGTCTGAGACCTCGATTCATAAGGACTTTTAAATTACGTTTTCAGCAGTTTTTTGATTTTTCGATTTGTCATATTTATTTTTTTTGTTGCCAAGGTTATATTAACTTAAATTTGTACTAAATTTTACCTCATGAGTGCACTTTTGATAAAGAAAATACTCAATTAAGGCATAAATTAATTGGTCGATCATATCCTGTCTTAAGCAAAGTAACTGTGGGTGTTCCTATTTTTATGGCCGCCACTGTAGCCTCACAACTGAGAGACAAGCTTGCATAGAAAAAGACAGGCACTCAGACAGACGGACATGGCTATATCGACTCGACTCTTGACACGAATCAAGAATATATGTATTTATTGGGTTCAAAGATGTCTTCTTCAATGCGTTACACAGTTCGTGACAAAATAATAATACCCACCGCAAGGGTCGAAAGAGCAATGATTGACGACCTTTGGTTCGGGCTTTTGTTTTATGTGCAACTTACCTGGCAGCCGGATGCTGCTCCAGCTCCCTATGCTGCTCCCCCTGTTGCTCCTGCTCCTGCTGCTGCTTTTGCTTCTCCATTTTGCCGCCATGCTGTGCATTTGTCCCACTGCGTTCAGCCCCACGCCTGACCCTGTTCCTGTCCCTTTGCCTGGACCTGTTCCAGTGCCGGTCGCGACCTCGCCAATTGATGACTCTAAATGGCTTTGGCTGATTCGATTGCCATGTTTCACATCATGTTGCCGTCGCTGGCGAAAGGGGGCTCCATTACATATTACTCGGCACTTTGGCTATTTTGCTGGGACAAAAGGCAAATTTTCCGTTGCACTCGACTGCGACAGTTCCTTATCGAATTTGGTTTTTTTTTTTTTTTGTGGGGGATGCTCTCTTGCTCGCTTCACTAAACTTGCTCGCTCTCTTTAAGCTGGATTCAGTGCGTCCAAACAAGTGTTGATTAGCTAAAAAGAGCTAGAAAAAATGCTACAAGTTACAATTTGCTGCCAAAAAAGTTTTAAAATTTCTTATTTTATTTAGACAATATTAAGTTGGTTGCGCTATTCGGGCAAGCAGGATTTAGTTTTCAATTTTTGGGGGAGATATCTAGAAAATCAAATATTCTTAATCTTAATAATTTTTATGTATCTAGCTCTTATACCTTTTGATCTATGCTTTAGAAACTACATCTCAAAATCGATATTTATCGCGCTTATTCTGCGCGTGGTATGCGAGAATATATATTGCATATTTCAAGTGACTAACTATTGAAGTTTCCCAGATCCACAGGCAGACGGACATGGATATTATTAACCATAATATATATATTATTTTGCTTCTCGACTCGGCTATTGATGTTGATCAAGAATATAGTATATACTTTATGGGTTCGAAGGTGCTAGCTTCCGTCTCTTCAATACATTCACAAAAAACTAGCACACCTTTTTATCCAATTTTAATGTGTTCGGGGCATAAAAAGGTCAAACAATGATTAAAATTCTTGAACATTTTTAAAGTGTGGCTGCACAACTTTCTTATTGATTAGACCATTTATTAGGCAGTTCTGTTTTAAGCTGAATTAAAAGTCTTTAATATACGATTTAACAGGGGTTAACAACCTAACCAACTTAAACCAACTTAAACAAGTTGAAGCTTCTAGGTAAGTTTATATACAGAAGCTCACTTTTGCAAACAGCATTTCCACAAGCCTTTTACGCCTTTGACTTTGTCTGCAAAAAGACACAAAAAGCTTGAACTAACAAAAAAATAAGCGTAATTGGCAACACTGGCCAGCATTCGGATTAGTTTTCAGTTTTGGCAGTGCTCAAAGCTGAAGTTGCTGCTTCTTAAACTCTTAAAGAAGACGACCAAGTTTTGCGGAGGGCGCAAAAAATCGGCTTTACTTAGAGCATCATTTTCAGGAACAATGCGCATTGTGTGCCCATTTTGTTGTTGTTGTTGTTGTTTTGATTGTAATTGTAGTTGGCTCATTGGTAATCTCAATTTACCGAAGCTCGGCCAGTAAATGGAATGCCAAACAATGGCCGTTGGGATCGGCCTTTAGCCAAAGCTTTAAAATCGCCTATCAACAACAATTTGTAGTTTGTTGTTCATGCTGGGCGTGGGTCTGGTTCTGGGTCTGGTTCTGGGTTTGGGTTTGTCGGTTCAGTGGTTGGGCGGGTATTTCAATAGACCAACTCATGCCACTTGGTGCCGCACACAGAGAACAACGGCGCAACAATGCGGCGCAACAGCCAACAGCTCCCCGTGCCACGCCCTCCTTTTGCAGCTGGCAAAGTCATCTTCACAAAATCAGCATCAAAAGCCTGTCGAATGGTGTTTTTTGCTTTACAAGTTATTTTCTTCTATTGTTTTTTTTCGTTTCTCATATTTTTTTTTGTTTACGCTCAAAGTAAAGCAGCAGCTGGAAAATGAGGCAAAAGTGAATTTTGCCCCTTGCTGCAGCAAGCAAATGCTGCAGAAACTGCTGAACTACACCTACACACACTCACACTCTCTCACACACTCACACACACACATACCAGCCCTCACACAATGGAAACGTAAAATGCTCTGAAGGTTCATTTGTCAATTTGCCATTTGAATTTGTATTTGAGAAATTCACTTGGCCGCTTTTGCGCTTTGTCCTGCCCGCACACCAAGCCCCCCTTCCCCGGGACACCCATCGACAGCCTTATTCATAGCGCATCGTTCTCTATCTACTTTTCTCCCTCTCTCTCTCTCTCTCGCTGTCTCTCTCCTTGCCTGTCTGTCTATTTTGCGCTCTGACTTGGCTAAGATGCTTTGGCAATGCGGATAATATTTCCTGTGCCAGTGCAGCAGTTGGCGGGCGCAATTGCAACGGCTGCGCCTGTTCGGGCTTCATCCGACCCCACAGCCAACCCTTCATGCCGGCGCCTCTGCTCTGGCAATTCAACTGATTTTCCCCGCCTGCCTTTTGTGGCTGCCACTGTGTCAGTGTCTGTGTCAGTATCTGTGTGTTAGTGCGAGTGTGAGCTGTGCCTTACAATTGTCGACAGTTTTATTTGTGCAGCTTTATGAGCACTCACACACACACAGACACACACATACTTACATTTATACACTCACTTGAAGAGATCCGCAGCGGTAGACACTCAACGTTGGCTCGTTGATATATTCATAAATGTGGCACAGTGGGCCGCAAAAGCCAAAAAGCTAATTTGATGGCCAATTGCCAAGAAAAAATCTACAAACGATTGCAGAATATTAAAAAAATATATGTATTATGATAGGATCTGCGTTTATATATGTGAAGCACACTGCAGCCGCATGTCGCAAGGCAAATCAATTAACTGATGCACCCAGGCATAAGCTTAGATAAAGATCAATACAGTTGTGCTCGCTAAGCAGATTGGACTGCCAAATGCAGTCATATAGTTAGATATAGATATATTACTTGTTGTTAAGCTCGTGCGAGTGGCTAACAAAAAAGCAGGCCAACAAAATCAGTTAGCCGTCGGTCAAATGGCACTGATACACCCAGCCTTGTGGCCATAATTGGATTTCTTTGTGCATCCACCAACAATATTCGTGCCTGCCATTGTGCCAAAGTAATTTAGTTTACCTAAATTCAGAAAGCTAACAAATATGTTGCAAATATATTAAAAAGTAAAAAAAACGAAACACATTCGACTTGGATATACCCCGGAATTTGCTCAATTTGACGTAATTGGGAGTATTTTGCAGCGTGGCCCGAGCAAGGTATTTTTTTTTACTACATTTAAAATCAGTTTTCACCCATATTCCGCCTATGAATTTCACTTATGTGGTTTTTGAAATTAGTTTTATTAATAATACGTTTGGCTCTTCGTAAAAAAGAAGAAAAGGAAAGTAAACAGTTTATCGTGCAAAACGTTTGCATTATTTTATAGTGAAGTCGATCGGAACTTTTACCTATACAACATTAGCCCAACATTTTCCACGCGGGAAAGTGGATTTTACGAAAACTGTGATACACGAGTTACAAGAAATTTTACTAATACATTTTAAAAAAGCCTGGAGTTCTGAGGACATAAAAACATTACCATAAAATCAATTAATGTTCATTTTCTGACCTTGGAGATGGATTATTAAATATCTACGTAACACGTATTTTTTAAAATTTTATTTGAAGCCGAGTAAAAATTGAAGATTTAGCTATACAAGCAAAAGTCAAAGTCTTTCTCTTTCATAAATATCCAAGTTGTTACTACCCATTTAACAACACAATTTTAGGGTATCGCTTTAGTAAACAAGACAAGGCAATATATTTTATACAGAATAATAACAAAAGCATCGAGTAAAACAAATCGAATCATTTGTGTAACGAAATCCTCAGAGATTTCAACAGAACCGGGCGCAATACCAAGAAACGTATAACTTTTTAGACTCGATTACAACAATAAGTGCACATATTGAAGTCAATGCGAATGTCGTTTACAATCAATATTGACACGCCCGGAGAATTAAATATTAATTGCCATTTGAGCATGTTCATAAAACTGATGTTCGATATGTTTTGCAATGAAAACACATGCAGCCAACGAGGCGTATGCGTAAATTAATTAATTGACATATTATTAATTTGTATGCAGCTGATATGACTTTCGAGTCTAGAGTCTAGGCTTTGGGCAAGCATCACGCATGAATAAATCCAGCTAATTACCAATTGCAACTGCAATGTGAAATGTTTGAAGAGTGTTTATGATATTATTGTCAAAAACATTCATTTTTAAACATGCCTAGGAAAATTATACAAGAGATAAAAGTAAGTATAATTGGTAGTTAAATTAATCGTTAAAAATGATGCCCCCAGTTTGATACGTGGCCCTGATTTTCCACATCAATGCAGCGGATGTGCTTCTTCTTCCCTTTGCTCAAAATGTTTTTTTGAGAAATTCGAAGAATATCTAAAAAATAAAAAGTATTATATTTGGTATAACCAAATAATATATTTCTAATAACCAGCTCTTATAATTTTCGAGCCATGCTTAAAAAACAATTTCTCAAAATTGATATTTATCTAAAAATTAAAAACCTGTTCTGCATGTGGTATAGGAGAAATACGTTAATATTTTAATATATAGACGGCTAAAATGACTAACCTCGTCGTCCTGATCAAAAAAATAATTAATAATAATAAAGATAATTCCTTCTTTAAATTTCAACGAGTTCAGGGAGTTACAAGTATGAGGCTCTAGTTGGGATTTCCCGACTAGTGCATACCCGGAATCCTCTTATAGAAAGATACTTGACCTATATATACTATTCGATTTTAATCGATTTCTTGGAAACGAGGCAAGTTTTCAATTATCGAAAACAAATCCGTACTGTGCGGACCTACGTTCAAATTTCTGGTCTCTATTTCTTATAGTAGATCATTGCGTTTATACATACGGACGTACAGACGGACATGGCTAGATCGACCCAACTATTGATGCTGATCAAGAATATATATATACCTTATGGGGTCGGAGAAGCTTCCCTCTGGCTGTTACAAACATTTGCACAAAAACATTATACCCTTTTTAACCATTTTTAATGGGTTAAGGGAATAAAAAATGCAAAAACAATTTCAAATATCAAAAACAGAAATTGTTTCTTCCCTAAAACAAATTTATGTGTTACGTGTTTCGGTTTAGGCTCTTCTGTATCTATTAGTTGGGCTACTAATTCGGATCAAATTCGGGCTCTGGTTGGAAACGATTTGCAGTTGCTGTTTCGAACCGTTTGGGTTTTAAGCCGCTTTGCAGCATTGATTTAAATTTCTTTGAAATTGAAAAGCAGCTCTGTAAGTAACAGCTTATTTAAGAGAAACACAACAAATTCTTTGAAATGTAATTTTTTTCATGCCAAATAAAGGTGGCAGAGGTGCATGTGCTGGCCCGTAGGCGTCTCGACTTAGACAGGCGGAGTTGTTGCCCTCAGAGACGTCATTTCAGTCTGTCGCCTGG